AATATTTTTTTTTACTTTAATAAATTTTAATATAATTTATTAGGTTGTGGAACATGTTTTGCATTTCATCCTACAAATCAAAATATATTCTTGGTTGGAACAGAAGAAGGAACAATTTATAAATGTAATACAGCATATAGTAGTGTTTATATGAATACTTATAATGAAGCACATAATATGCCAATCTATCAAATAGTTTACAATAAATTCAATTCTAGTATATTTGCAAGTTGTTCTGGTGATTGGAGAATAAAAATATGGGAAGATGACAGAATGTAAATATCAATTATCACTTATAATTATTTAAATTTCTATTTTCTTCTCATGTTTATTAATGTTATAAATTTTTTATAGGGAACCTCTTTTTATGTTTGATCTTAATGTTCCAATTGGAGATGTTCAATGGGCACCATATAGTTCAACAGTATTAGCTTGTGTTTCAAATGATGGGAAAGTTACAGTTTTTGATTTGAATGTAAATAAATACAGACCAATATGCAATCAACCAGTTGTTAATAGAAAGAAATATAAATTAACTAAACTTGCGTTTAATAATAAATTACCATTCCTTATAGTAGGTGATGATAGGTAAGAATTTGTTTCATATAATTTTATTTAACAATATAATTATTTATTTAATAAAAATAACATATATATTTATATGAACAGAGGTACAATAAATACATTAAAACTGTCACCAAATCTCAGATTGAAAGTAAAACCAACCAAGAAACAACTTCATTTAACTCATAGAGAATTAGAAATTATGAAATTAGAAAGATTATTAAGTTTTGTACGTGAACCACTTGTTTTGCCACAACCGAAAGATATAAGAGTGGTACATTAATTAAGTCATATTTTTAATCATAAATATATTTTATGTATGTCTGTATTTTTTTAAATAAAATATATTTAAAGATATCATATTATAAATATCATTTTTTTATCATTATTATTACATTATATTATAAAAAGACTTTTTATGTTTTTGTAAACATCAGCACTTTATTAACATTTTCTATAACAAAAAATACCTATCATACATATCAATATCTATCATTAATATCTTTATAAACAAATTGGCACTAAATTTAGAATAATTTATAAAATTAAACTTATCATCTATTGCTGTAACATGTCTTCTAAACTAGAAGCAATTATTAACGATTATGAAACTACTATAATATATTTCTTTATAAATAGAATTATGAAAATTTTTGCAATTCCATACATATAACAATGCCACATACTTTCATATAATATAAATCTACTTTTAAATACTTCTAAAGAATAAATTTGTAATTTTAGAAATACATTTAATTGCATATATATATATATATATATATATATTTATATTTATATTTATATAT